AGTCACGTTTAATATACTCATATATATTCGGAACAGTAAAGTAGTATATGAGACTATCGGTGTCGGTATACATCAATTTAGCTTTATCACCAAAAGTATGTTTTATATAGTTGTAGTGAAAATCGTATATGCACATTTTAGAAGTGCCTAGGATGGAAAATCCTGCGTATATCGGTTTATTGAATTTAATTTTTGTTTGATTTAATTCGACTATGATCATATCTTCATCAAATACGGTACAGCTAAGAAAATTTGGTTTTGCAATCAGAGCCTTTGCTCCATACGTTCCATCCCACCTAGTAACGAGTCTAACGTCCTTTTGTTTTCTGACATTTTCCATTGTTTTACCGAAAGTCGAATTATTCGTAAGTTTATAAAAGTTTTTCTCAAAATCATTATTCGATTTTTTTCTCATTTCGGTATTCAAATCTATATACTTTCTGAGCCACGGTGCCTGTTTAAATTTTAGAACACAATGAATTTTTGTTAGCTTTATACCTACTTACAAACACTATTTCAAATTCTTATAATGAATGATGTATCTATCTTTCAGGAGGAGGTAGTAACTTTTCCTTCACATTTGTATTAAACCAATCACTAATGTCTGTGGACGGTTTGAAGCTCGATCGGATACTCCAAATCAATTTCGAATATGTAACCCGTAAGCGAGTCATCGGGAATATTGCGAATATCCAATTGCTCAAAATTTTCTTCCTACTCGAATGAGTCTATTGGTAAAGATTGAATCATAGCTGCACCGTATAAATTATTTACGTCATAGTACATAAGATACGACTCTTCTTTGCTTGGATCCAAATCTGCTCCCATGTACCTATTGTTAGCTCTGACGTATCTGTTAGAGCATTGCGCTACGCCATCTCGAATGCCTCTCTCGATAAACAACAACATCTCTACATCAGTCAGCAGCTCAAGTTCAACACCCGTTCACTTGAGCATAGCGTCGAACGCAAGACCTGGTGCCGTGTAATAAAGTAGAGGATTTAAATTGTATATGGCGTAACAATTGCGTCTAAAATTTTCAAAGATACCAGCTAGAAGGAGAACATCAGTTTTCAGATACAAATCAGAATATTCACCTAATGTTTTAATGCAAAAAGTTTGCCAAATATTGCAAGCGTGATCATAACCTGTTTCTGAGATTTCTTCGTTATTTAATTTTGAATAAAATTCTTCTTTTACGGGTAATTGATCCTCTTTGAGTTTTTCCCAATTATCAATATATTCATAGGGAAAAACACCTTTTCTAGTCAATAAATTGAATTCCTTTACATTATTACAATGTTTACGCGTAATTAATTTTTCATCATTTTTCAATTAGGATGTTAAATTTTCAATACTACTCGGCATAAATCTAAACAAATCAATAAATCGATAATTTACAATCGTATCTTTGACGCTCTTCATGAAAGATATATATCTTTCTTTGTTTACTGGTAATAGATTCATTGAACCCTCGAAAGATGTAGCTAGAGCTCTAATCAAGAAGTGTGAATCATAACCAGATAAGTTATGAAATACGACAGGGACGGTATGTGAACTCTTATAGATCAAATTACACCCCTGATGTGCAGCACCGCGATATATGCCTGTAAGATGGTAATGATCACGATACCTGACACTGAAATTTAGAGATTCCATTGGTACGATATGTTTTAAGTAAAACTCTATAATTTGAGCTAATTCCTTTAATTGTTCATAAACCATTCCACGCAATCTTTTCCACGATAAGCTCTGAATTTAGAGATAAAGTCATCAAAGTTACATTGCAAATAGTACGCTATACTGTGTGGAACGTGTCTTTGATATAGAGTTGTGTTTAACGAGTTAGACTTGTCCGTAATTTTCTCTAATATACACTCGATGTCAGCATAAACGACAAATGGGACAAGTTCTTTATACTTATAATTTTTAAATTTCATAATTTTATCTTTTTCATCTATATTTAGTTTTCATCTATATTTAGTCTATAGTTTTCGAAAAAGCATTCTAATCTAATGTGACATTGACATCTGTCATACAGTCTGGTAAAACCATGATGCTTTGAAATGTGTGAACTCAGTAAACGGGATAGATTTCGAATCCAAGCAAAGTGATAAACACTACCGTCTTCCATGTCCACGTCATCTCCATTCGAATAAACTTTTGTTTCCAACATGAGTAAATGAATCGCTTCCTTGTTTGATTTTTGCTGACTTAGGTAAATTGGTACTATGTCATTACCACTATCACATTCTATATCGTAAACGTTAAGTACCAAATCATTCATCTTCTCGAACTTCAAAATGTCCTTTAAACCAATGGGAAAGTCTAATCCTTCATACCTTAGCACTGAGCTGAAGTGGGGGTACGAACTGATCCTGTCTACATTTTTTTTGTCTGGATGAAGGGCTGCCGTAACCGACCAGAGAAAACAGTGCAGTTCATTGTTTCTAATATTCACGACTGCTTTCTTACTTTGCACATTCTTAGGCAACTCGATGAATGTTAATAGGCCACCGTGTATCGGTATGTTGATGTTTACCACCAAGTTTATAATATCTATCAACGACCAACCAGATTCCCTTTCTTGACAGTTTTCAACCTTGGCTAGTAACTTTTCCTTCATATTTGTATTAAACCAGTCGCTGATATGGGTGGACGGTAGAATAATTTCGTTCTTAGTGTCGAAGAACTTTAATTCTTCCACAATCTCACCAGCTTTTATGGTCTCGAATTTACAAGATAAGACGATGTTCACTTTCAAATTTCCGTCCTTTCGAAGTGCGTTTTTTCCTCTCGCAGTAAACAATTTTCTGGAATCTTCCATGAAACGACCCAAGTCCTTGTGTTGCAAGTTTGCAATGACCCCAGTCCTTATTCTTCCCTTAAAGGCAGATTCCAAGTCATCCCAACGCACTTTGTCACTTTTTCTCTCTCGCTGTTCCTCCGCCTATTTTTTGAAGTTGTTGTTTAAACTTTTCGTTCAGAGATTTCAGGATTCCGATTGTTGTTAAAATTTTGATTTTCTCTCCGATCGTAAGAGGAACGTTTCTCAAAATTTTATTCAAAAGTCTGATATTTTGAGTGCCAAATTTTGTCCATTTATCAATTTCTGCAATCGATGATCCCTTCTTCAGAAGTTTATATGCTCCTTTCATGATCTCGATCAACTTTTTACACTTTGCAGAATCCATCTCGTCAATACCAATAATGCGCTTGAAGGTTTAACAAACAATGATCGCTGCGCATCATCGAAGGGCCTTTTATACTGTTACGTCCGAACCAGAATGGAGGCTTAGACTGGTGCCTTTACCGAACCGTAATATACTATAACTTTGCCCTGTTTTGAGTCAATACTTGCGCACTTTACTCGGAATTGGGCTATGCCTCTAATTACCAAGGGAAGGGTGAATTGAACTGGATATTTGCTAGGATTGATTTGAAAATTACTAAACAAATGAAAACCATCACCAACTAAACAATTGAACCTAGGAAATCTAACATTTATGATATTTCAACAAAATTAGATAGTACCGTCACCAATAATAATTTGATTGTGCTTACCTTGATTCTGTTGCTTAAGGTTATCGAAGATGTCTGCGGTGTGGAAGAGGTTGGTTGCAGGCAAATATATATATATATATATATATATATA